CACCTTTAACTCTATGGGCTCTATGGCCGGTCCGCGGACCCCCACCTTTAAGCGGCGGGTTCCAGCAGGAAAAGCTGGAGGCCGGAAAAGAGTGAGACAGGTAGCGCGCAAAAGTAAAAGTGGAACCGAGAGTGGTACGAGAGACAGAACGAGAGCAAGACAGACAGACATTACGAGAGCGAGACAGTTTGTCCAAAGGTGTTATACGTGCGCTGGGAGCGCACCGTTTAAGTTTGAAAGTTGAAAAGTTTGTGTGTCTGAAACGCTATGTGATACAGTACAGTTTACACAGCACAGTGCATGTTCTGTAGCTACTATTGCACTAAATGGTAACACTTGAATACGTTATGCAAATATGCAACTGGTTTGTTGAAATGTTAATAAATGGGAGCTTCCTCAAACAGCCATCTCTTTCCCGACAATCCCCTCTGTGCACGAACCCTTACATATGGTAATTAAACATTAAAACACCTGCGGCTTATAGTCCAGTGCGGCTTATATATGTACACATCATTGAATTTAGCTGCTGCGGCTTATATTCAGGTGGGCCTTATAGTCCGAAAATTACGGTATTTACTGGGCAATATAACTCTTTCAAAACTAAATACAGCTTAAATCAAGCCATGATAAACTAAATCAGCCAAATGATGAGTTACATGATGTACCTGAGTGCAGAGCTGCACCAGCAGCTTGGCAGCGTTGGGGCTGTTGGAGGCCAAGCAGCCCACAGCTGTGCTGAGGTAAGCCAGACAGGAGATGGGTTTGCCCGATTTGGCGGCCCCGCGGGGCCTTTCAGAGTGACCGGAGCCTGATGTTGCACTGGTGGAAAGACCGGCTCTGCCTGCAGCCGCCAGACACATCAGCCTGACCAGAGTCCTGATGTCGGTCAAACCCAGAGACTCCAGACCGGCTGCCAGGCTGCAGCTGGAGCCACTGTAAGGGAGGGAGAGAGGGGGGAGTATAGAGGAGAAGGGAGGAATGAAGAGAGAGGGAAGCCATGTATTAAATAACAAATAGAAGGATATTCTATTCTCAAAATATTCAAATAATCTTCCACATCTTCAACCAAAAATGTAAATGGAGAAAATATTTTAGGAAGATCACTGCGTTATATCTCACCTAACTTATTGATTTTGAAATAGCCAGTCTTATTAAGTGATAAACAAGGAAAGAGGTTGCAAATATTTTATCACATCAACACAAGTTGAAATACACTGTACAGTACCTGAGCAACTCATTTTGTCTAACAAGAATCCCAATTCCATAGTTGTAATTATATTATTTTGGTGCATTAGAACCACTTTTCTATACTATCATGGCATCTTTGCCCAGGTTGTACATTTTAAAATCTTAGAAGTAAGAAATAAGTTGTACAAATAGCCAGAAAACCTATATATATCTGGAATTGCTATTCATCCAACATGTCAGGAGAGCACATTACAAAGCTCCACATGCAGGTCTATTACAAACACCCAGGCCCAGGCAGTGTGTAGGCATGTTCTTGTGTTGATGTCAATTACCTGACAGACAGCAGGGACAGGGCTCTCATGACCATGGTCCTGGCCAGCAGCACCTGGGCTGCAGCCGTCACCCTCCTCAGCGCCATCACCCGGTCATGAGGGTTCTGGAGGGCCGCCGCCTGCTCGCCGAGGGTCACTCTGCCCGAGGAACTCTTATCCACCGAGGTCTGACAGCCTAAACACAAACACACACAGAAGCTTAAGAGATGTTCAAGATTGGTTCTACGACTTATTAGCTTATATTCTGCAATTTTAAATAATTCCATTGTTTTTTGTAGAGAGAGCGTTTGTGTCGCTAACTTCTTCATTGCACCACTCTATGGGATCTTCTTCACACCTATTTGCAGCAGGGTCTCTTCCATGCTGTTGGTGGCTGTCACCATGGCAACAGAAGCTCCAAGAGGGTCGCTGTCTGGAAACTGGACAGCCTCTGGGACGATCTTCCGCTCACTGAGACCCAATGGTCCGACCAAGAGCTCAAACTCCTCCTCTCCCGTCAGCTTCTCATCTTCGTCAACGTCAAGCATGTCCCAGTCCTCTGTAGCGGGACGGACAGACATCAAATATAATTTTAATCAAAGCCAAGCAAAAAGGTCTGTGTATTACTGCACAGAACATTGGATTTTGAATTCAGTTTGACATTTTAAAATCGACAATACCTTCATAGACACTGTCCTGCTTCCCCAGGAGGTCAGGAGCTTGTCCCTTATACCTGTGAACATGTCAAAGAGAAGATTACATGACAATTCATCAGATTCATGTATTAAAATATAACCAAATGTCTGATGATTTCAACATGACAAACAGTTGTACAGATGTACAGTACATGTATGTTTCCAAACAAGGAATTAAAGCTTTTAAAAGTGGTCTGGAGAGTTACCCGTTCCTCAAATCACAATAAAACAAATTATAATAATAAACAAAAGAGAACACTAATCAAATAGTTGTAATCATACTAACCCGAGTGCTAACGTCTTTGCTAAAAGAAAATTGCCATCTCGCGATTGAGCGCTGCGTTCGGCGTCTTCTTTCCTAGCCATTTTGGGGTGCTGTTTGGAAGCACTTTAAATTAAGAAAACCTGACTTTTCAGGAAAGCACTTGTGCAAAGCTTGTGTTTGGCCGCATGAACAAACCAACCTAAAGCGGTCCTCTTTGTAAGCAGCTTGGATGTAAGGGCTAATAACGCTAAGATACAGTGAAGACACATATGCGCTCTCATGTTCACTCGATCTTCTTGGGTGTACCAACCTCTCCACAATGGGGACTTTGGCTTTGCTTTTGATGGCCAGGTACTTCTCTCTGCAGCCTCCACACAGCAGGTAGTAAGGGTTTCCACTCCCACACTCCCCTCCAAACCAGCCGTCTACATAGGAGCCGTTGCTGCGGTAACCTTGCCTGTTGGCGCTGCGACCGCATCCTGGGTGGCTCTTCTTCATGTGCTGGTTGAAGTTGGCGACGTTGGCCTCACACAGCTCGCACACCACAACTTCATCGCGATCATCCGTTTCACACACGTGCTGTGAGGTGTGGTGAAATGACAGAGTGACACACACATTCACATAGATGAAGACAAACAAGACAGAGTTGTTCAGAGCAGCAGGTAGGCATCCATGCGGTGTGTTAGAAATCAACAAAAATCAGTTCCAAGCAACAGCCAGAGAATAATCATGTTGTTAGTGTTAATTCTTTCATTCCATGCCAGTTAGATCAGTAGAGTGAGTGGGCTCTTAGAATAAATATGCAAGCAAGTGACTTTAAAGAGGACATATGCTCATTGTCAGGTGCCTCTACTGTGACATGTTAACATGCTTTAATGTTCCAATAGGTCTTTATTTTTCTCATACTTCCTATGCCTGAAACCAGAGCCCAGTCTGCTCTTATTGGTTAGCTGGTCGTCTCTTGTGGTTAGCTAACCGCTTAGAGATGTCCCGCCCCTTAGACTATCAAATACAATGTATTGGAGTGCTAGCCAGTATAATGGCTAGTGTTAAGAAGTGATGTCCCTATGTTACGTTTCAGGCAGGGTTGTCTGCGAGAGAAACTCCTTCTGGAGGGAACTTTGGGATTGTAGCCTTTGCAGACCATTTACAGGCACAAGACAAGACACTACTGGAAAGGGAAACCCGCAAAAAGCATAAAGGGCCCCTATATGTAGGCCTTTTAGCGTGCACGTATAATATGAGCTAACTGTGAGAAGGGATGTAGGTAAAGAGCAGAATGGAGTTGGCAGCCCTCTGGACAAAGCATAAAGTCACACACACCCATGTTGGCCAGTCCAGTACCTCCGGGATCCACATTCCCAGAATATCCGTGTCGCTGGCCAGATCTTGGCCGAACATGGCCTCCATGGTCTCCTCATCCAGGTCCATCTCCAGCTCTTCGTCCAGGTTGAAGTCGTAGAGCGCGCCGGGGTCCTGCTGCTGCTGGAGCGACGAGACCTCCCGCCGTGATTGGCTGTGGTGCGCCTGCACCGAGCGGTACAGTCCTGCTGAAGGGGAGGAGGTTTAAAGTAAAGTGAAGAAGCGGGCGATAAAGTTATAAGGAAAGGTAAATGAGGCTCTTGTGGAATTCCTTACCAGCGCGGGCTAACAGCGTGCGTGCTGCCAGGTCAAAGCGGTGTTTCCTGCCGGCAGCAGAGCGGCCTCTGAGCGGACCGCCACTGGAGGCCGACGCATTGTCCTGCTCCAGACCCTCAGGACTACAAAAGAACACAAATAAATGCTTTTCAAATATTGAATATACATTACAAATGTTAAATCTTCTGGCATTCAGGATAGGGTAAGAAACTGTAATATTTATAATGACGTGGTATATGATTTAAACTAATGTACATCATTCATGTCTACCATGATTCCAAAAGGAGAAACAGACTTACAAAAGCCTTAACATCATTCTGAAGGTAATAGATACTAGACAATGATACTATTCTCCCTTCTTGTTTTCTCATGCCATGCAGATATCTTCATTCAAAGGAGAATGATATACAAGATAATATATATGTGCTGAGTTTTAGGCTCGTATGTTATTTTTGGATCTTTCTATTAGAACATGTTTACATTAAAGCATGTAAACTGTTGTTCTGAATGTATCTTTATTCGCTTTATTCAACCCTAGAGGAAAAGCTTTTGTACCTCTCGCTGAAGCCCTCCTCCATTTCTGAAGCATCAGCACTGGCGATGTCTCCAGGAGAGACCAGGTAGGGGCTCCTGTCCAGAGATTTGCCTCCAGAAGAGGCTGTTGCTCCTGGACAGGACGAGTCGGAGCCGTCGCCGCCGACACCACTGCCTCTGGTGTGACCCTCTTCATGCTCCTCCTCCGTGCCGGGATGTTCTATCATCCACATGGCCAGCACCGTGATGTTCTGAGCGTCTGCTTCTCCACTGGCACCTGAGTTAACGGGTACAGCACAGAACAGCACAATGATGATCATACTACACTATGTATAGTCTTACCAAACACTTTTTGATCCATTACCAGCTGTTCCTGTACCAATCTGTAGTCGACTGAAAATAGTGATAACTTTTCCCCCTTTTATTCCATGTTTTCAGTCATCACCATCAAGTACCTTGTAGTGCATTTAATGTAGTTTCTGTTGTGTTTGTATTTAAATCTCTTTTAATGTATCCTTTTTTATTAGTAGTTTTTGCACAAAGACACAATTCAGCCTGTTGAATGCAAACTTACACAATCAATTGTTTCCTTCTATGTGAAATGTGTTGCTTTTCTGTTTTACATTATTGTGACATTTCATTATTTGTGATTGTAATAATGCAAGCATTGTTCTCCAATAACCATATATAGTCGATTTTATAAAAATAAATTTAAAAAAGTTTCAATTAAATACAATTTGAAAAAAAGGGGGCATGCAATTCGGACTGACCGGTGGCTTCCAGAGCTTTGGTGATCTGCCGCAGGGAGAAGCCCATCTCCAACAGGGGCACAGCGATGGCCGGGGGAGGGGGGGATGTGGACAGCCTACTGCTGGGGTCCGACAGAGCTGAAGTAAACAACACCACCACAATTAGTACAAATCTGTATGTGTTCGTTATACTGGAGCATGAAATAACAAGAATGTCCTTAGATTTAAACAGCAGCCTTTACTCAAAAAGTGGAATTATGTCTAACAATTAAAGTTACACTTAGGAAATACGTTTTATTTTATTTACTAAAATCAATTGTTTGCTTCCTTATACTCTTACAAATGTGTTTCCTTTCTCTGAAAATATTTGAATATATCGATATTTTTTTGAAAAGTTTAAAACCTGCTTTGTGATGCGTCAGACTCTATTGATTCAGACTGTCAGGTTACATTAGTCCATTGAACTCATCGTAGTTTCACTTTGCATGATTTATCAGAGCAGCGGTTTGCAATGTCACAAGGGGAAACAAATCTCAGTTTTTACAAGAAGTAAAGGTCAAAGGAGGTGGACATATGTAAGGGAAAATCACTTTTGTTTTGCCAATGAGAACACATTTGACCCAACAGAGAGAACGGAGTTAAATGGGTTAAATATTGGACTTTGTATCATCAGCTCTCTGATGTTTGCATCAGTGACTGTAATCTGACAGAGCTCTTTTAAAGATGAACCAAAGGGGAATCCCTTGTCATGAATGATATCAGTCTTCAATGGGTTTGCATTGAATCCAAACCAGGGTCAACAAGCTACAAAACTGTTTGCCATTGTATTTTGTTTTAAATAATACTTTATTAATATCATTCTTTTTTTAAATCAAGTTTAGTAAAACTTAAGTTACAACTCCCCTCCATTGTAGCGCACTTTTTCTAGCACATGATTTTGGCTTATGTCACATTTTATTTCACTATAAAAAACAATATTAATTTGAGATTTCTTCTTTTTTTTTTTTAAGTTATTCTAATAGGCTGCAACCAACAATTATTTTCATTATTGATAAATCACATGCACATTATTTTCTGGATTAATTTAATGAAGTTTGTTGTCTGAAAATTGTCTCTCGATATTTACACTCATGGCAGTCAGGCATACTTACAGGTACCCGTCCTGTTCTGTTGTCTGGAGGGCTGGGAGTCGGGGGAGGTGAGACTCTGACTGCGGCCCACCTCGTCTGAGGGGGAGGTTGGCAGAGAGGTTACTGGGGGAGTCTGAGCTCGCCGGGTTGGAGCCAGACTGGTAGTCGGGTAGCTTGAGAACATTTGCCTGTCAGAGAAGCATTGAAATAATCATCTCGATTGAATCATACATGAGAAACAAGGCTCGTCAACTGACAGTATGTACAGCCATCTGTTCTGACCTGAGGAGGCTGAGAGGCATGACCCCCGGAGACTCTGATGCAGGGACAGTCTCCGTGTCTGTGATGGGGGTGGTGGCAGTGGTAGTGTCCTCCAGTGAGGAGCTCATGAAGGAGGTGGTGCTGGAGGCAGAGGGGCTGGTTGTGACTGGAGTCTGTGCCAACTGCTCCCCCTCTGTACCGTCCCCCTCCCCTTCAGGCTCACTTCTCACTCCTAAGGAAGGGGTGTAAAAAGACAGACAAAGCTGAAAAGTTATTGTTATCTTTTAAGAATTCCCAGCAGTAATAAACAATCACATAGAACCGTCATCAGCTGCTCACCGGACACTTTAGGATTTTACCCCAAGTAGTAAAATCCTAGCTAATTTCCCAGTTTTAGGACTCATTCCTGCACCACTCTATACCACCTAACCCAAGGCTAGCAGAGAACTGAAACTTCGTAGGTTCTTTAGTTTCTCTTTTTAAAAGGTCTTAACAGCACTCCACTCTGTTTTCCATTTTATAAACCCCCCCCAAAAAATGTTTACCTACTGTAATCACACCGTATATGTAAATAGTATCCTGTGTCTATCATTTTAAACATAGGTTGGTGTATTATGTTTTATTCTATCTTATATATAGATTTTAAATGTCTTATCCAATCTAAAATGTTTATATATTCTCACCAGGCTTAGCTTTTCCTCCACTGGGCTCCTCCAACAGCCCATTCACAACAAGCTTGTAGATCATGGCCTGTGCCCGCTCCAGGTCTGCCAGGCCCAGGGCCCGCTTGATGGGGGAGCGCATCACTGCCCTCTTCACCATGTGGCGCATGAGGAACTGCAGAGCCGCTCGCATCTCCACCTCTTCCTGGCACACCGGCGAGGTGGCAGCTGTGCTCCCATTGGTGCTGGCATTCAGATCAGCGTTGTGCCCGCTTGATGCTGCGTCTGGTAACACCTTGATGTTACAAGAGAGGATAAGTTAGCATACATCTGACCGATATTTGACCTGGATTGATTTCAGGTAAGACATTTGACTCACATTATGTGTATTTGTATTAGTTTTGATTGTAAAAGAATACAAATTTTGCAAGAATGCACACATTCACTTCCTCGCAGATAATTAGACGATGAGACTGATACTTGAGCACAAATCTCATCGTCTAACTCTTAGCCGGAAAGCCAATCAAAAATATTTCTGAAAATGTTGAAAGGTTCTACTATAACTATGTTGACTTAAAAAGGTTACTCCTACAACTGAAGAACATAGAAGTAATACAACTGTACCAAGTACCTTTGGTATTAGCAGCAGCTCAGCATACTTGCTGCAGCTGAGCAGGGCGCTCAGGGCCTTCATGGCTCCCAGGTAGAGGTAGGAAAGCTGCACAGCATGGATTTCCGACTGCATGGCGATGGAGGAGGGAGAAGTCTCGTGACTACGGGAGCCGTGCTCATGGCCTTTCTTCCTGCTTCCCTCAACAGGAGTGTGAGGAGCTGCAGTGAAGAGGGTCTCATTTCCTCCACTCACAACAGAGGAGATTTCGCTCTCTGACTTTGAGTTGGGTGCTGCATGTGCCTTCACCTCATCAAGGCTGTGGGACACACGCATGTCAGAGGTGTTTGGAGCTCCAGATGCTTCTTGGTTATCTTTTTCTTCGTTTCGGTTGTGCCCATCGTTCTCCGCCTTGTCTTCGCTACCCGTGGGCTCGTGCCCGGTGGAGGCCGCGTTGCGATGCTTCTTGTCGTGGCGTCGCGCGCTGAGCTTGGTGGCGGTTTCCTCGTGGATGCTGGTGAGGTAGGTGAGGTCCAACAGCAGCGAGGCGGTGAGGCCGCGGAATCGTGCCACGTCGAAGGGCAGCGGCTCGCAGGGTTCCAGGTTGTACAGCGGAGTGTCACTAGGCGACCAGAAAGTTGGGAAGCTTTAATAGAAGGGAGTGGAGAGTGAAAGGAGACAAGGGAAGGAAACACAAAGTGAGGGAAAGGGCACGAGAGAGAGAGCACGGCATGCAAAACAAATCAAGAGATGGAATGTGTGGAGACCAAAACCTTGATCAATGATTTAATGGGCCATGCACAAGAGTTATGGATTAATGACGCGAGGGGCAAGTCAATAACAACAACATTGAAATAGAAAATAAGAGCGAGGGAAAATGAAAAGGTGATTTAAAAGTAATGAGGTGGCTAATGCAGTGTCAGAAGAATGTGAGTACAGGTGAAGAAACATTCAGCTCCAAAGGTGTTTTAAGATTATTTTAGCCATGTAGTCGTTCATGTAGTGCTGATCAATGTTTGCCTAGGTCAGTGGTTCCCAACCTTTGCATACAGTTCTGTGTGTTTTTTTTATTTAATTCAAAATCGTACTATTTAATCTGTTCCTTTTTTTCAGTTTTTCCTTCTTGCATTTTCTCGGCCATTGTTCCAATAGTTTCGACTGCATATTATTAAAATGCTAAATGAGGCTGTTGACAAGTTATCGTGTCCTTATTCTGTGAGGTTTAAACGTTTTCTTGCACTCTATAAAATCCAGAAAGTACAAACTTAACGACAAGTCAAGCAATTGCAACCCCACATGGTTGGGAACTACTGGCCTGGACCAGTCACATTATTGTTGAATATTGAATTATAAGAGATCATGTGATCCTTATCTTTTGGAAATAACAAGGACTTTCCCCTTGTTATTTGATAACTAAGTAAAAGTATGGAGGCCTTTTGTCATGAAATATTGTCAAAATCAAAATAAATGTATCAGCAGCTGACAATTAGTTAAAAATAATTAAACATACTAGCAGCGTATAGACAAAGAGAAATGTCAAAGACAGTTGACAAAAAGATGCCACAGCAAAACATGTGTGCCGGTACCTGATGGTGACCTCGGCCTCGTCCCACTGCACCTTGGCCGAGGTGCTGCCCTCCTTCACCACGCCCAGCAGAGTGGCGTGCCTCCCGGTCTGCTTGTGCACACATCGCCCACCGACGCGTAATCCCGCATCCGCCCCTCCGATCACCGACAGGACCGGCCACACCTCCGTACAGAGCGTCCTGAGGTGGTGCTCCGACAGCTCTCCCAAGCCATGCTGTCGTCCGTGGCGGCCCCTCTCCTCCTCCGTCCTCGTGGGGGTTTCTTGGCTCTCGCTCTGAGCGTCGTGCTCCTCGCGGCTCTGCACCGATCGGCTCTTCTTCAGCCTCTGACCTCCACCGCTGCCGCTTGCACTGGCAGACTCTCTGAAGCAGAGTTTGATCTTGTGGAGGCGCTCCGTCATGGTCTTGTTGATGCAGTGGGTCCAGTGGTCTGTGCGGTGTAGGATGCGGATCAGCTGTGTGGTGGCCTCGGCCAGGACGGTGGCCATGGGGCTGCAGACCGGGTCGCCAGGCAACAGGTCTCGAGGCGTTCCCCTCATCTGCATGTCACAGATCTTAACCTGGAATTTTTTTTTTAAATAAATAAGCTAAATATACATACATAAATACAATATGTGTATACATAATAAGTTGAATGTAATACCATAGAAATATTGATATCATGTTTCTTATAAACATATATTAGTATCATGTTAATTTACAGGTGCCTCTTTTATCGTTTCTTTTCTCCAAAGAAACAAGACTAAAAGGACAATGCACATTAAACAACATCAATGTAAAAGGTGTTGACAGCTCATTTGTTCCCAAAGACAATTTAGGGGACATTCGATTTTACATCCATGTGTGTCCAAAGTGTCCCCACTTCAACATTTTAATTCAGAACAGACTTTTGTGGGAAATGTTTATAATGAGCACATTCATTCTTGAGGTCTGGCCATAAAAGGTCACAGTGACCTTGTCTTTTGACCGTGCTGAGGCAAAAGATTAAAGATAAGAAATCTCAGCCCCAGGTAATTGTTGGGTCACTCTAAACACAGTCGAGCAAGACGACAGAGGTTAAATCCCTCATACAGACGGAGAACAAGAAGGATTTTCAGTCAGATGGACACTTGTGTTGTCTTACCTTCTCCCCTGGGTTGCTGCTGTAGAACATCACACAGGGATAGAGCTCTGTGGCGTCAACATCCTCAAAGGCTAACTTTGGTTCCTGTGGAATCACAAGTTAGCAGTTAGAGGTGGACACAGGACAGTGAGGCCATAGAAAGCTTTTCTAAATATCTTTTGTTTTTATGTGAAAGTGCATGAAAGGTTCTATATAAATGAAGTAGATTTTTTATATTATTTGTATTATTTTAAGACACTTATAATCAGTGTTTGAAATTCAGTTTTTATTCCACATGCCACTTGTGTTGTTGAAGCGCTTCGAGAGGTTGTGTCTTGCGTCTCTCACCTCTCCGTTCTTGCCAAAGGAGATGGTTCTGGCCTCCATGTCCAGAACACAGGTGATGAAGTCTCCCTGCGTGAAGCTGCTAAGTGTCAGTGTTTGTTCTCCATTGTGATAAAGATTTCCGCTGTATGCCCGGTACAGCCACATGTCAGACGTGGTGCGGTGGTTGAAGTCGTGCACGGGCCATCGTGAAACGCCTACGCACGTACCCTCGTTGCCGCGGTTCTCCTTGACGATGTAAAACTACAAAGAAAAAATCAAATGTGAAATGAATGACATCGATTTTGATTTTGATTAAATTCTGAGTTAACTGGATGCAGGGTTCCTCTTAAAATATATGTAATGTTCTTATTACCTTCCACTGGTAGCATCCAGAGGAGATACCAGTGGAGGCCAGGCCGTATCCTTTCCCCCCACTGCCATGCGTCAAACCCTGGCCATTTTCCACCACACAACACTGAGCCTTCTCTGGGTCAAAGGACACTTCCTGGATGGGAAGGTTCTCGTCCTCCTCTTCTGCCTCTCCCTGTGGAATAAAAAAAACATGAGTCACTCAAACAACAATTGATGATACAGAAAGGTTGTTAGGGATAGAGAATGGGTTGGTTTGTACCTGTAGTTTGAGTTCCTGAACTCTTTCTTTAATCTGAATGGAGTGTTTGGCTTGGGCAATGGGAGCCTCCCACATGCAGTCAGACAACAGGGCGAAGAGGCGCTCAACAACCTAAAGGAGAACAAACGGTATTAGCTCACTGACTGTTTTAAGGGCTTATTAAACAGCTTAGTAGAATACTCAATTCTGATTGGTCAATTTGGACATTGTGCTGTCCGCCCTTTTCCATAGCAGAGCTTGCTAAAGACGCTCGTCATATCAATCAGCAGAAAGAAGTAAGGTACATTTAATGTCAGCTTTGGCAAAAAAACACATGCGTTTTCAGAAAACTCAGTGAGTTGGAGGACAAAGAAATCAGCAGAGGGACAGACAGAATGTAAACACTAAAGGGAACACGGTTCAGTGCAACAGACTGGTTCATTGAAAATAAATGTGAACAGACTTTGACGCAGAAAACGTGCTGCTGTATTTTTAAGTCAAGCAGGTGTCAAGAACATATTTTAAAAATTAAAATGTTATCAAATTAATAGACTTATTTCTAAGTGATAATAAGCGGGATATCGGCAGGGAGCAGGTACGTATAGTGATAATAACATACCTGTGTGACTTGGTCGTCTTCCATATTGGCCTCACAGGCAGGCAGGACAGCCTCCAATACATGAAGAGCAAGGAGCCGAGTTCTTAAGTTCCCAACCAGAGGGACCCCTAGCAATAACCAACCAAGAGTTAATGTCTCAGCTTTGTTTTTCATCAGATTAAGTACTGCACATTTATAGCAGTTAAATGATAAGGTACATAAGGTGGTGGTACCTGAGCAGCATTTCTGTGCAGCTATGTTGAGCAGCACTTCAGTCCATTTAGGGGAGGCCATCTTGGACTGGATGGCCTTCGAAGACACCACCCTCCTGAGGAAAACCAGGAAGTCTCCAAGGTGGAGCTCAGCAGTGTGCTGCTTACGGAGCAATGCTGAAGAAACAAGACGACACAATTATTACATTTCATGGAATAAAAACCTTCATTGTTGACAAAAATGTACAAGGTTCAATCTTATCATTTAGGAGCTTTTTTTCTCCACATTTATGTTAAATAATGTCTTTGATCATAGCTATTGTTATTGAAAAACCAAAACTGAAATACACCAATACAGTAGGTTGTATTTCCTATCAAACACATGAAGGACAACAGAGCCCACTCATCAGGTGACTGAAACTGACAAAAAAGATAAAGAACTCCAGGATCACCTCTGAAGTCTTTCTTCTCAGAGTCAGCACTGTCCTCCTGTTTGTTGTCTTCTTGCTCTTCCCCAGGAGAGAGGAGACTGACTCCTGCCTGAGACAGCAGGTTCTTCAGCTGACTGCATAGCAGGTCCAGCAGTGATTGAACCACCTTAGGACTCAACTTGTCTGCATATGTCCTGCAAAACAAAGAAAAGACACAATGTAATACTTCCTTAAGGCCAACAAAGTTTCTAATCTCAACTTCATTCCTCCAGTATTAAATGTCCCAAGAGAAGACACTATGGGTGAATATGGTATTTCTTTAAACGTTAAATCACTCCATAAACCCCAAAAGAACCGTCATAATTTTTATAATAATAAATAACTAATACATCAATTAAATATTATTAACAATACTATAGCTGTGTCCCAATTCAGCGGCCGCATCCTCCTGAGGATGCATTCGGAGACCGCATACGTCACTTCCGCCAAACGAAGGCTGTCCCAATTAAAAAAAAGACAAGACTCCTCCGAATGCGGCCCGCAAATGCAGCCTTCTTTCCCCAGATTTGGAGGATACATCTGATGTACACTCCGCGGTGTACCATATCCCAGGATGCAACGGGTGACTGTGACGAATTAGTTTTAAAAAATATATATGGCTTGTAACGTCCCATCAACGGCTACAACGGTTTCAGCTGGATTCGTTTTTAAATGTACTCACCCAAATAGTAAACGACATGAAAGAAAAGTAAACCTATTTAATTTGTGTAATATACTGGCAATTGGAGATGTCTTCTTTATATTACATACATAAAATAATATGAAGTGAAAATATTTCTAAACCCTGTTTGGTTTTCATATTGTTGGGATTCATTATAAAGCTAATTTATTTATTTAACTGCTTTTGTTATACAAATCTTACTGCAACAATTTTGTTTTGATAGGGAGCAATGAGCAGACTGCGCAATTTATCCAGATGCGCGGGGAGAATGAAGCCCTCTTCACGGGGGCCTGTTGCGACCTCGGGAAAATAATTTAAACATATTATATAACACCAAAATAAGTACAGCTAGATCTGACTCCATATTGAACAGTTTTGAAAACAGTTTGAAAATATTTTGCTTAGTGTCAGAAATTATTACCGGCACTTGTGACTGCAGCTGGTTGCTAGGTGACGGGGGCTGCAAAATGTAGGGGTAACTGCCGGTGACGTACAAGGACATGCTCCGTAGACTGTCTCATTTCGCAGTCCGCGGAGGACCCAAGCTGATGGGACCTCAGCCTACTGCAGCTGGTACGTCAGCAGAACAAAGATTCTGAATTGAGACACAGATTATATATTATCACTAAGCAATATGCACATTCTAGGTGAGACTCATCCGTCATCCTTTAAATATGTACGCACATTGGTTTTGAATCCAAATCAAGTAAAGACATGCTACTTTTGGGTGAGTTAACGGTATCAGTGCTTCATTTAAAGGATGTTAATGAATAAGGTTCTCACAGTGCCTTTTGTCCGCTTTAAGGTATTACTTAAGGTAGGGTTAATGTTGCTCTCAAAGTGCCCAGATTGATGCTTTTTAACTTCAATAATTTAGAAAAAAATCTTCCCGGGGGAGCATGCCCTCGGACCCCCCTAAAGGAGGCGACGACCCCCTAAAGGATGTTGGTCCAACCCCCCACTTGTAAAAAATAGGCACTTTACACCTGCACCCCCCAACAACTTCACTGGGCTAAGCCCAGATCTCCTACAATCCTACAATCCCCCCCTGGGGCCGATGTAGCGCTATATTCATACCATGAACCACCCTCAGCTTGATTTGCACACTTCTGGTTATAGATGCTTACTGCATTTCGTTGTCTTTGTACTCTGTCCAAATGACCAATAAAGTTGAATCTAATTCTGAGAGCTACATAATGATCGTAGGAGATTGAACAATTTTTTAAAAACCGGGGGGTGATCATAGTGCATGTAGGTGTAGGGTTCCAACAAAATACAGTATTTATGTGGGTGTACAATATTATCTTACTAATACACTGGGTGATGGGCAAAATTGCCACTGGTTCATTAACTATATGTTGAAAGACTCTTAACTTCCCAAGGGTTAGCTCCATGCATTTATGTCACTTGTTTTTTCTTGCTGGTAGGTGTAACTTGGACTATCAACTTTCACTACTCAGCTACTTATGGGTGCTGGAGCAGCAGTGGGATGGCTGGCCTACAAAATTCCGTGGGATGAATCCTAACGGGGTTTTGCCAGTTTAACCCCACGAGACCACCCCATTCATTTTTGTTCCTCGTGGAGCACATTGGGTTTTGGTCCTTATTTGAGGTTATACATGCTTCAGCATTGGCTTTGAATTTAAAAAAAAGATTGGAGTACAAGCAAATGCCTTAATTGCTGTAAATGCACTGTTACACTTTTTTCATGTGAATACAAATGTTTAAACAAATATATATATTTGTTGCATTGAGTTGTTGTGCTCTAATGTTGTTTGTAATCTATACTTTTTGCATAACTAACACCGATGTCCTCTCAAGGACACACAAATTCAGTTTTTTGTTAGTCATTATGTTTACCACCCTAAAAGGGAAAAAAAGGACATTTGAAACCTTTTCTTTCTGGGGCTCTCAGGAGGGAGCCAAATTGATAATATAAACAATGGCCTTAAGTGAAGTAAAATGTTATTCCTTGTGGTTCATGAGATCAACCCAAAGTCAGTACTCATCCCACAGGCCACACCTGTTGCGTGCGGCACGTCCTAACGCCGGTTTCCCTTTATAAATCACAAATCAACTCGAAAAATGCTTCACGTAATATATACGTAACCCATATTTTTCTATAATAGTCAAGAAACAGCCCCGTGATTATATTCATTTTGACTGACTGCATGAAGAAAGATCCGCAGGAAATGACGAACAGAACAGCTAAAAAAGACATTTAACACAACGTGTCAGATTTAGTTATTTTGGGAAGGGTGGAGACCCAAATCACATTGTTTGGGTGGATGCAGTTTGAACGCAGAGTAGCAGCATGAAGGTCGGATCGTGCACCAAAATAAATAAAATACGGGAGTGGGTCCGAAAAAGTCTAATGACAAACATAACCATACCTTCCCCACAGTCCAATGTGTGTTGTGCCGGGGACAGTTAGACCCCCCTTGATGAAAACTGTAAAAGAAATATAACTTAACTTTAGTCTAAGTTATCTCAGTGGGTCTCAAACGTTTTGATCACAACTTTATGTCAACACCCCATATTTCCAGGGCCTCCCTTTTATAATTTATTGGGATAAACAGGTTTGAAAAATAACTTTCAATGTAAAACTATGGAACAGTAAAACCAATATATCGTTTAAACTGGAGAGATAAAAAAATATGCATAAATCAGCGCGGAGAACTGCCCCAAGCCGAGCTCATAAGCTCGAGGCCCCTGCGCAATGTGAGGCCCATGCAGCTGCATGATTGGCCTGTAGCGGAGGCGACCGGCCCTGCGTCCATCCCCATTCCATTGTGTAATTCCTTGGAATACTCTATTGATCTTTATCCCTTTTCCTACTGTACGATTCTCTGGTTGGGGCCGGGGGCGCCAGCCGCCCAGCTAAAATCTTGCCTGGACAGCAAATTGTCTAGAGCCGGCCCCCTGCTGGGAGTCCAACGACAGGCAACTTTGTTTATATCCATTCTTAAATTGGCTTAATCCATCTCTCAACCATCACATCTCCAACCGCATACATGAGGTAACTTTTATTTATGGTATTTTTTTGCACAAATAATTTCTGCTCCCATTCTTCCCCTTCTGCGCTACACCGGTGTCACAGTTCCCGTCCTCCCCTCCCGTTTTTGTGCTTAGTGGCGTACCATTGGGTCAGAGTTTGCGTGGAGGAGCCGGCAAGTTTTCCCTCAAGTTTGTTTTTTATAAATCGCAACATTTGCCTATAGAAACTGGCGTACCGCCCACCTTTTGAGCGTACGCACGCCGTTTATGAAATGAGGCCCCCCTGCATTAAAATGTTAGCTCCCCAAATAAAGAGTACAAAAGTAATTAGGCATCAAATACTTAAAGTACAGAATGTAAAAATACTCAGTATGGCAAATTGGACATTTCAGAATCATTTAATATCATATCTTTTGATTATAATTAAGTGATGGCATTAAAGTGTGGACCCTAGGTTTTAGTCCAGCTTTGTATACTGGCAGCGGTAGGGCCTTGGTGAATTTACTCCCCGAGAAGTACTAAGGTAACTAACATCTGAATCTGTTGTTGAGTATAGTACAAAGTAGCATAAATTGGAAATACTCAAATAAANGGGGGGTATGCTCTGCTGAGAAATCCCGTCGGTATGATTTTCAATACCGTGACGTCACAGACTGTGCGCCAAATCACAGATGCGTTTCATTCTATTACACTGACACGGAGTTTTGACAGGGACGACATTGGTTGTAATGCACAGCACGCGCCAGCAGAGGGCAGGGGAGGGCAGTCCGTCTTTCCCGCTCTCAGAGCTCAGCACAGAGCTGAGCTGAGCAAGATGGCGGCAGCATTTGCCGGCCCCGAACTCGGACAACTAGTAAAAAAGAAAAATGCCTCTGCGCCTGTTTGGGACTATTTTGGGTTTACTCGTCCCCAGTGACTTCATCCAGCACAACGAGAGACAGAGGCACTTCTTTGTGAATGTTTAAGACGGGGTGAGTGAGTGTTGACATTTTTTAATCCTATGCAACTGGTTGATGGTTTTGTAGTCGAGGTCGGACGGTTTTAAAAAGGAAAGCATTTACGTGCTAAACATTCACGCGAGGAATCCAATGAATCAAATGGAAATAAGGTTTTTAACACATGCACGGAATAATATTGCCAAACTAGTTAGTGAATATAGCAAACTTTATTCAATAAGTCAAGTATTTACTCCCGGAAAATGTTTATGTATGATGATATACTGTTAACTTGGCTCACAATGGAAACAACGTCGGACATCTACAAACGCGTCCTGTATCCAATCTCAAAATGTGCCATTTGCACAATTTGTCATGTATGCAGCCCTTGTTTTGCACTTGCGCGCACGTCGCGGCACTTTGCGAGCGTCTACCGGCTCCGGCTGCATTTTACACCGAACATATAATATACCGTTCGAAACATCTATTTGCCGCCGAACGCCACCTCGCTCAAGTCGACCCAAGTCATACCGTCATATACCGTAAACCACGGTATGATGTCAGCAAGGTATGACGGTATGAAAAAAACGATACCACCCATGCCTAATACACATACTGTAATAAGGACTGTTTGAGTGTATATTAAGAGGCCAGCATCAGTCACTGCTGTGCACTGTCCCTGTGAGAAANAAATGTACTCACCCAAATAGTAAACGACATGAAAGAAAAGTAAACCTATTTAATTTGTGTAATATACTGGCAATTGGAGATGTCTTCTTTATATTACATACATAAAATAATATGAAGTGAAAATATTTCTAAACCCTGTTTGGTTTTCATATTGTTGGGATTCATTATAAAGCTAATTTATTTATTTAACTGCTTTTGTTATACAAATCTTACTGCAACAATTTTGTTTTGATAGGGAGCAAGGAGCAGACTGCGCAATTTATCCAGATGCGCGGGGAGAATGAAGCCCTCTTCACGGGGGCCTGTTGCGACCTCGGGAAAATAATTTAAACATATTATATAACACCAAAATAAGTACAGCTAGATCTGACTGCATATTGAACAGTTTAGAAAACAGTTTGAAAACCGTTTGAAAATATTTTGCCTAGTGTCAGAAATTATTACCGGCACTTGTGACTGCAGCTGGTTGCTAGGTGACGGGGGCGGCAAAATGTAGGGGTAACTGCCGGTGACGTACAAGGACATGCTCCGTAGACTGTCTCATTTCGCAGTCCGCGGAGGACCTAAGCTGGGTCCTCCGCGGACTGCGAGGCTGGGTCCTCCTGAGGACCCAGCCTCTGAATTGGGACACAGCTTATATTATTACTCACATTATGACATTCTGGTTTTGTATTAACAGTTATCTGAATATGTATGTTTTGAATTCAAATCAGGTAAAGACAAATTCAAACTTTTGGTGAATTTACACCTATCATGCTATATTTAAATGATATATTGTAGTGCCATACCTATAAGGTATATTTATACGTCTGTTTTCAAAATACCAAACAGATCATGCATTTTAGCCATGCCTCATTTCGCTCTATTTGCTGTTCTCCAGCCCTGTTTTTGCAGGGGGCTGATTCTGTGAGCTGCAGCTGACCACGCCCCCCTGCAGGAGAGGAGAGCATGCTTTGAGATCAGCTGCTGGGCTGTCAGAAGATGGGGAGAAAAAGAGATCTCCGTCCTCCGTGTTTTATTATATGATTATATAGAGTCATTATTCATTTCTTTTAAAGCTCAATAAATAACAAAGAAGACCTTTGACCGGCACTTTTCTAATTTTGTCCGGAAGATTTAAACTTTAACGTCCGTTAAAGTTTAAATCTTCCGGACAAAATTAGAAAAGTGCCGGTCAAAGGTCTTCTTTGTTATTTATTGAGCTTTAAAAGAAATGAATAATGACTCTATATNGATGTTTAAAATAAACAAGGTATCTACCACGATTGTTTAAATGGGTAAACGTTTTTCGGGCTGCTAAGTTGGGATCGCGGAGAAATGCTCTCCACAGACCCATTCTCACAGCATTATAAACCTTTTTCTTACTCAATATCAAGCCACACTTATTGTTTTTACTTCGGCTGTGAGCGTTTGTGTGTGCTCAGGATGAGTTTCGCTATGTCTCGCTGTATCGCCGACCCGGAAGCCTGTCCGCTCCTCGCAGCAGATCGCAGAAACGAGCCTCGCTACTTCCCGACCAATCAGAGCACACTGGGCTCACAGGGGAGGGTGGGGGGGGGGGGCGAGGAGCTCCAACAAGCCGTGTAGGACAGAGAGTGGATACACATACTATACAGAGATGCTGTATGAGAAACCAATGTGAGTTTGGAAAATTGCACAATATAAATCCATTCTAGTAGACCTCAACAATGGAAATACGATCAGTAGAAATGGCCATGACATGGGACCTTTAAAATAATTGGCATTTTGGTTTGAAATTCACTTAAATAATGAGTTGCTCGCTAATGTAATCCATTTTAGTGTCAGTTGACTAGATAATAAATCAACCAAAAAATCAAGAAGCTCTCAATCAGTCCCCCAACTGTGAAGATACATTAAACGCAGTCTTTTGAACTCGACTTTAATCTTTCTTCGTTCAGATACAGTTCTTGTTTCAAACCAGCTCCAACTTTTGATCGTCTGATCCCTGCTTGTTGTGTACGTCTTGAACTTCTTCTGCCTCTATGAATCAAACATGAGAACAGCCCAAAGATAGTGGGATTGATAGATTGTTGAAGTTCACATTCCCTCATGCTCCCCTGGCTTCCCCCCCCCCCGCAGTGTGACAGAGAAGACTTTGACAAATCTGTAGCGCCATGGAGCGATTGGTGTTGGTGTTGGGTTACCGCGGTGATTTCAGCAGAAACTCCTGCAGTTTCTTAACAGAAGGGGAGAAGACACCTGCTGTACCTGATGTTGTTCTGACTTTCCAGGAAAATGTCATTGAGGATTTGGAGCTTTTGCAAGTTATTCGGGAAATAATGTGATCATATATTTGAGATGTTCTGAAAACAAAGGAAGCTTGCAGACGGGGCTTATCTGTCCAAATGTCATCTGTTGATCGAATTGTGAAAGTTTAAACCACCTCTTTACCTCTCTTCATCATCCTCTCACCTCTCTCCATCATCTTCCTCTCTTCAAGTCAATTAGCTAATCATATTGTAGAAAATGGTTGAGGTGATATCTTCAGATTGATTGTGTCCAGTCAAAACATTTTTAGTTATTGATGCAAAAGACAGGAACGTTGAAGGAGAAAGTAGGAACCAGTGAATGTGTGGTAATTAAAAGAGCAGTTAATTGATTATCCAAATAGTTGTTTATTCCAGTTTCTGGTGTTTTTATTTAGTATCTTTAACCCTGATTCAGTGGACATGTTTCGCCCGTTGACCAGGGATGATTACAACATTCAAAAATGTGAAAGCAGTCAATGTAAACTCATCAATTCGTTAAACATTGATAGTTGATATTGGGTACTGCTTAGATAATACTTCAGTACGTTCAGCTGATTTCTGTGGGGTCTGATTTCAGCCATCATGTATGAAGCTGTGGATGGTGAGGGGAAAGTCTGTGGTTTCTTCTATCTTTTCAATCTTTCTATTACTTATTTTGAACATCTTTTAAGTGCCTCACAAGAATCGCCTAGATTAGCACCGTCTGACCTCCAAACTCGTTCAGTAAAACATCTCATTGCCTTTCCAAAGACTACGTCATTGTTTCCACCAGACAGGCAGACTCAACGATGATTTATTGTATATTAATAATACACACACACACACACACACACACACACACACACACACACACACACACACACACACACACACACACACACACACACACACTTCTTTGTCCTTGTCAGACTCACCCGCTTTGTTTTCTGATACAAAAAACAAGCAAATTGATAACGTTGTGAAAGTGTAAGAGTCAGAAGGGAACTATTTGGAAGATAAGGAGACGTGATGGAAAGCTTCAACTTGTGAGAAAAGAAGTCCCTCAAGGATGAGAAAAGATAAATATGGGCCACTATGTTTATGTACAGTGTTATCACATAAATCAACATATTACATCTAAAAATAATGTTGTTATGCATGAGATACAATAAGACTAAGATTTCTGTTCATATTTAACATGGAGACTACTTGTTTTATGTTTGAATGCAGCATTTACAGTCACCACTTTAAAGATTAATGTTAACCTCATAAGCTGACTGACTGGGTCTGATTGTTTATGATTCTCTGTGGACGGCCTGGAGACAAAAATCTCTTCTTTAACCGTTTTTTTCTCTAAGTAAAAGTAAAGAAAATCCTACATTTGCAGCTTTTTATTGTGGTTGACATGCAAAACAAGACACAGCAGCATTTAGGGCATGATCAAAATATCGCTTGACGTCGATTCTTTGTTTCTTTTTTACCAGAAAAGGGGGCGGGACCGTCATTTTACCAGACAGTGACGTAGCGCTGCTCTCATCAATGCTCACGATCCTCTTTAAGCTCTCTTTATGTTCAAAGTGCATCTGGGTGATTCTCTGAATCGGGTGCCTTTTGGGTCTTTACATTTTTGAAAAATAAAACCAAAAATATTGCATATTTGATCATAACATCTGGTAGTGGACTACTTAAACCTTTGAGTAAACACATTTTCCCACCTCAGGCAAAAAAATCCAAATAATTACTTGGAATTTCCTTGAAAATATATGACGGGTTGAAGTTGTTGACAAAAAGCAGCCATGAGACCTTGTTTAGCGAAGATATGGCACCACATGGAAGTTAAGAACATTACAAAATGTTAATATTTAGCAAAACTATTGTTTATTTTTTAATAAACAATTATTTACTATTATTAATTCATATAACAGAGTTGAAATGTTGTGCTTGTCAATCTTAATCTGACGATAAAAAAAAATGAAATATAGGTAAGAGAAGATACTGACACTTGGTTTTCTTTGCCGCCTTTTCTTCAGAAGTCTTTTGTGATGTCATTCCCTCAATGCAGATCACACATGAGCTGTGTCCCAATTCAGAGGCTGGGTCCTCCTGAGGACCCAGCCTCGCAGTCCGCGGAGGACCCAGCTTGTGTCCTCCGCGGACTGCGAAATGAGACAGTCTACGGAGCATGTCCTTGTACGTCACCGGCAGTTACCCCTACATTTTGCCGCCCCCGTCACCTAGCAACCAGCTGCAGTCACAAGTGCCGGTAATAATTTCTGACACTAGGCGAAATATTTTCAAACTGTTTTCAAACTGTTTTCAAAACTGTTTTCAAAACTGTTTTCAAAACTGTTCAATATGGAGTCAGATCTAGCTGTACTTATTTTGGTGTTATATAATATGTTTAAATTATTTTCCCGAGGTCGCAACAGGCCCCCGTGAAGAGGGCTTCATTCTCCCCGCGCATCTGGATAAATTGCGCAGTCTGCTCCTTGCTCCCTATCAAAACAAAATTGTTGCAGTAAGATTTGTATAACAAAAGCAGTTAAATAAATAAATTAGCTTTATAATGAATCCCAACAATATGAAAATCAAACAGGGTTTAGAAATATCTTTCACTTCATTCTATTTTAAATGTAATATAAAGAAGACATCTCCATAATCGCCCGGTTTATATTTAAATATAAAAATTAAATAGGTCTTACTTTCGTTTCATGTCGTTACACTATTTGGGTGAGTACATTTTAAAACGAATCCAGCTGAAACCGTTGTTCGCTCCGTTGATGAGGACGTTACAAGCCATTATATTTTTTTAAACTCATTCGTACAAGTCACTCATCCAATCAAATTCAATCAAATGGTTTATTTATATATGCCCAGATATCACAAATTGTTCATTTGTCTCAGTGGGAGACTTCACAGTTTGTATACAGAATATCATGCGTATGACAATACGACACGCCTCTGTACCTTAGACCACCTCACATCGTACGTACAGGAAAATACTTCCAGAGCAAAACCCTAAACACCGCTTACAGCTGTTAACAGCGGGAGACATGGTGAGAATCTCTCAGGGAACGGACAGAGGTGCAATAGATCCCTCTCCCTCGTACGTGAAAAGGATAATACTTTGCAATATCGGATGCCGTGTGTAAAATTTGACAAAAGATAATGTTAACATNCTCATCTTGGCCTAGGGGTGATTAGAGGCAAGAGGTTGAGGGGGAGGCTGGTGTGAGAGTTAGGGCTGAAGACAGTTCATGTTTTTAAAACAAATAGTAGTGCTACTGCAAGAACCTAATTAGTGTAGACACAGACTGCCAGAGCCCACTGATGCAAAGAGGTCTTGGAGTGATGGCAAAGTACACACTGATGCAAACACACACACACATACACATACACATACTGTAATAAGGACTGTTTGAGTGTATATTAAGAGGCCAGCATCAGTCACTGCTGTGCACTGTCCCTGTGAGAAACCCACAGAAAGCATCTTTCTTCACAAGAGAACAAAGACCACCCCCACACCCGACCCAACCTTGTCAACAAACATTGGGCCAGACTCCCGGAGATGTTTGAAAAAGTTTGATCAGTTAGATATAAAGTGAAAGTGAGACCAAACTGAAAAGAACCTCGCTCAATATTTCAGTTTTGCCAGGAGGAGTTGATCGAGTTTGTTTAATCAACACAGAAATGAGTTCACCTTAACGTAACTTTTTTTTCATTTAAAAAAAATGAATTTCAAGTCACTTTGTTGGTATTTGCTTCAATGCCGGTGTTTAAATGTGTGAGTAGTAGGTCAAAGATATTTTTTGTATTAATCATTTTCCCATTGTGGTCAACTGAAGAACTGACAAGAGCTACAGCTATTCCACGGTTTAGGTAAAAAGATGAACATTGTGGAGATTACCCTTCATTTTGAGGGGATTATACCTGAGAAAAATTTATGTTTTTCTTTGACCTTGAACTTCATACCTTCTGTAAATCTCTACACACATTTAGTGTTATCGTGCGGTGTTAAAACGTCCCAGATCCTTATAAATATGTATCCATGGTCTCTCTTTCTGTTTCCATCTGGATTTAAGGATGGGCTAACCTTGTCAAGCACACAGAGAGCCTAATATGTATTTATGTGATCACAAAAAGTCAGAGTTATGTGTTCTAGGACTCTGTAACCAAGGTCATAAGTGATCTGACTTTCTATGCAGCCTCGTCTACCATGAGTAACACAATCTGCTGGCCCATTCATCTCTCTATGGGATCAATAGCCGCAAGGCCGCTGATGATGAATGGAGCTAAATGGAAAGTGCATTTTACAAACTTGTGTGGTAACTGTGGAATAAATATACTACAGGGCCTAGGGGAAAACATCGACACAGGGCTGTGATAATGAAAATGACAGAATACAATCTTTATCCCACCAATAAAGACATAGGTTGAAGATAGACAGGAGTGACATAACGTTAACAGTTATATATCATTGACTTTAAGCTATTCAAATTGAACAATCCCTGTACAAAGAAGCTTAAACCTCAAAACAAACAAAACTAAGATAACAAACACGGCACCAAACCACACCAACAGAGATGCACACTAACCGAGTCAACAGCATGAGCTTCTCAGCATGTGATCAACATACTGTAAGACCCAGCCTACACACAAAATTAACATGTGAACCAACCCACAAAATAACATGCCTGCATAAACCCACTGCGCATGAATACACACATAAAACATGGATGCCCACATGCTTCCCACAGAGAACACATTAACATAAAGCATCAATGACTGTTTACATGCGCACAACTACCCTGGTCATGGCTTATATCCCAGATATGCGTTTCAAACATCATATCCTCAAGTCAGAAACTCATACATGCTATCTGGAAGTTCTAAGCTGAACAGCAATGATAAGAAATCTGGGATACTGTTCGGATCATGTTTTCAAGCTTATGAATAAAATACATTCTAAACCACAACAAAAAAATTGGATAATAGTGTGAATATAATAACACTAAGGCACTAGAACATTTGCTTACATGAAGTGAGGGGATTGCTTGGTTAATATAGGCGCTTTCACACCAAGTACTTTGCCGTACTTAGTTCCCAGTACTTAGGTCATCAGAACTCTTTAGTTCTGATGAACTAAAGAGCAGATCGCATTCACACCGGAATAAGTCCCTGAGGGAGGATTAGGCAAATGCTGACGTCACTTCTTCTTCTTCTGCTTTGGGTTTACTGGCAGGCCGCAAACAACTTCACGGCGTATACTGCCACCCCAAGTCCCCGGCCGGAAGTCCCCAGAGTTAGGGACTGGCTTCAGTAGAAGCTCCTGGCACTCCCAGCAGCTTCTACTGAAGCCTTCCGAGTAAATCGCCAGAACGCAGACACCTCCTCATCTCCACCGCTCCCATGTTTTCTTTTGTGTTGCCATAAGTTAGTCTCTCTCCGTTGGTGCGCTGGGCTAATGCTAATAATGCTAATGCCAGCAAATACAATGGCGGCTTCACAAAACCTTTCCGAGTTTTACGGGCGTGGTTTGCAATCAGCCAGCCAATCAGAAATGGGAGCCTTTTTCTCCCATGAAAGTACCTGCTCTCTAGAAGGGACTAAAAAGGGGGTGAAAAGGTTCTCATGAACTAAGTTCTAGTTACGGATTTTTTTTGTGTGAACGCAACATTTCAAGAACTATCGGAACTACACTGGGAAAAGTACTCCGGTGTGAAAGCGCCTATTGATTTAGAAACCAACCTAAGGCTCTATATTTACTTCACTAAACCTTCCAACCTGTAGTAGGGGTGTTTATTGATCAGGACAGATGTATAGACCTAATGATCAATGACCCAATAGCAGCAATGAGAGAGGGCAGTAGAATAAATGTGATAGCTTGGAACAGTGTATTTGTCAGTGAAAAAAGCTACAGCTCTTAAAGACCTGAGTCAAACTCCAGTGACTTGCTTGAAACCTGAACACAAAAGTGATGGCGGTTAAACCTAAAGTAAGCAACAACAGCCCAACGGCCCAGGCTCACTTAAGCTGAGCTTGAGATGGACTTGCTATTCTTATTTTAGTGAGCCGCTTTGAACAGAAACTAGACCTCCCCTGATGCAGTTACAAATACACATCTATGTAAAAAGGGCAAGAGGTGCATATGGTATGAGAAAGGAAGAAAATGTGTGTACCACAACAACAACAAAAGGAATGAAAAGCATGCAGCTAAAAGTCTGCTCCAGTGAACGTTCAGTGTCTTATCTTGCTCCACTGGCCTCACATCTCTGCTGCCAAACATTCTGTGGGCGGTCCAGTTTTTCAGCGCTGAGATCCAGCCATAAAGGCACCGCATGAAGCCCAGTGATCAAAGAGAAAGCTCACTAACCAACAAGGTCCAGCTTTTGGCTTTTCTCCAGGACACTACTCCCAGGACCCCTGATGTTGTTGTGGAAGTTATAACAGGAGTTTCTTTGTGTATTTGAGCCACTCTCTGTGAATGTGTATGTGTATAAGATCAAAGACATCATATAAGATTCATTACAACACTAGAAGCAGCTACTTGTCACAGAGGTGAGGTAAAGCCAGAGCCAGGCAGCAGAGTTTAGTGTTGTATCACATTTAGTTACACAGAACTTAAACATCTAAAAACACAACATTTGATAATTACAGCCAGAAATAAGAGCTAGGAAATAAAACATCCTCAATGAGTCAATGACTCATCATGATTTAAGTGTTTGACTATGATGTATCAACGGACCTTGGCCGCGTTGTGTTCTCCCCAAAAACCACACCACATTTCACTCTGAAGGAGACTGAGATCCAGACTTAGAATAGAACCCACAAGACTGTGATAGCAAACTGCAAAGCAAAGTGGACGACATGCACAGTTTGTACAAAAAAGGTTTGAATATAAAATATAATCATGCATTTAAAACATGTAGGCACAGCAGCCTTTTGTCAACTACTGATGGCAGACTATCAGATAAAAAAGACTCTTCTAATGGAAAATGAGTTCATTGCTGCAGGCAATTTCAGAATATGATGGTCCCACTTTGCTGACATACAACTGAATTCCAAGATGTAACCCTGAAGCCAAACAAGTCTTGTTTTCCTGGAGCCACATGTTCTTCTGAAACAAAAAGCACTGCTCCTCAAGTAGCAGCTGTCCAGGTCTTGTTGTTCAACTGATAGATGTGGCGCTCTACCTTAGACAAAAAGCCATGTGTTCAGCCAATTCAAAGACTAATACACTGAAAGGACACTGCAGACTTCTTAGGCCAATTGCATAACATCCATTAAATGGCTCTGAGAGGGGGTTTATTCTAAACAGATAAGAAACAAATGCAAGTATGCTGTATGTATTTGCGGTATTAGTCATAGTGGAACATTTTGTTTTTCATATATACAAAGTATGACAGAATCACAGCCTATGGAGTTGTAGTGTTCATCCTTGCACCCTGCTTGAGAGTGCCCGAGGTCTCTCTAAAGTACAGTTCCTCTTGCTGAAGGCTTCCTCTAGGCGTGACAAACCACATGATTACATAACGCTGCAACTACATGGTCCCTCAACCCTCAACTATCTGCTACTGTAGCCATGAGACTGTCAGCGGCCCCCTTCCCCCACCCTTCACAGCGCTCTCACATAGTTTACACACAGGCTGAACACTCAAGAGTCACACACACCAGTGCAGAATGCTTTAACACTCAGGCTAGAATACAAAAACACACTTTCACACACACAACTCAAAACAATGCTTGGCTGGTTTAAAGATATGCCACATGACTAAGTCAACCACATGGCCTTTACTGCAGTGCTCCCACATGTGACACAAAACAGCAGCTCAGTCAGGAGACTGTTGGGGAAGAGCAGACAGAAACAAACTTTTAATAGGCTAACTAATGTCAGACATTAACCTTGGCGATTGTCGTGATGCTAGTTGTATGACAGCGTATTAGGGTGTTTTGTAAGTGAAACAAAATAATCAATACGGAGCAGAGGCATGGGGGTATTATTCCAAGTAAATACACAGCACGTCCGAGATGGAAAAATTAAACATTTGCGAAAAAAAACTATTTTCTTGATTTGTTTTAGAACATTATGAGACATCCATTAACACATACATCATATTGTTATTCTTAGGATACCGAATGTTCTTCTTTAAAATGACCAATATTGGATAAAAAAAATACTCTTCAGCAGACAAATTAAATAGCCTGATGCCTGTGCTCATAATAAGCAAAGATGGCTGTGAATTAATAGGTTTGTTTTCTCAATCCTACTGTATGTAAAAAACTGACCTCCCACTCAAATCCCCCAAATGCTTAACAGAAAACACACCTGTTCAGCTGGGTTATATGCAAACATAAGTAAGAATGCAACATCCCACAGTACAACCTTAGGTTTCCCCATCCTTGGCATCACTGCATTTAGAAAACATATCTTGCTCCAACCAGAAGAAGCAGAGATTTGGGGTATATCCTCCACTGATAGCAGCTTTAGGGCAGTTTAGATTGGCTACCATTTGATGCCTCCCAGAGGATTTAAGGTTGACACTGCCTCAGTCATTCTGATTTCCCTCAGCCACGTTACACTGACACACACACAATCAATAATTATACGAGGGATATTGGGATTTATTGTCAACAGGCGGTCAACATTTCCAAAAACAGTGATAATTGATTAAACCATGAAATAATTTACGAAGGGAAACATTTAAAGCAGTTGCTGATGTTTATAGAAGAAGTTACTGCTTTTTTCTACAACATGCCAATTCAAATGAAATTGGATTTCTGGACAGTTGATGGGTTCTGAAAAAAATAAAGGGTCTCTGGGAATTCATCAATTACAAATAGACAAAAACAATCAGTCAAGCCACTTGTGGGATTCAAACAAACTGCAGTCCACTCTCTAATCTATCGATGTACTGCTATGTATTTTGTTGTAACCAATTTTCTTTTAATCAAGGAAGCTACAAGATCAGATAATCTATGCATTTTAATTACGCCATGCAGCTAAACCGTTGGGATAACCAGTAACTTGAATAGATTTTGGAGCAGCAGAGCTCAAACTGGGCCCAAAGGTGAAGGGGACGTGATGACACTGACATAACAACAAGAGGATATCAAACCGCCCTCCTTTCCACATCAAAGGGGAAATGACTCATCATAAACCTCTCTGAAAAAGACGTTCTTCTTTCAAAAACCTGTGGTTAATTGTGACTTGCACTTAATAGACCTTTGTTTGCGTTTGAGATTGTAAACACAGAAGATCAGTGTTGAGTAACTACCAGAAGGCAACCTTGAATCAACATCGGGTGCGCACCGGCCTTCCAGCTGTACACATACTTTCATTTCCTTTCTTTCCTCCTTTAGCAAGTTTGAACTAGTAGGGATGAAATCTGCTGCTGCCAAGGCAGAGTTTAATATGCATTTAAGTGGCAGGATTAAGAAATGCCATTGATCTGCATAAGCACTTCTTCTGGCAGTGAAATTAATACGCTCTAGCTATTCTCTTCATGAATAATATGCATGGCTAATTCAATTAACAAGCAGTATCTCAGCTAATGTTCGAAAAGGTAGAAAAACTAAATAATTAAAACCTCAAATTCTGGTGAAACAATTATTCACTTTCAGTGTAAATCTAATTGATTTAAAAGGGATTGACCTAAAGCCCAGCAGTAAACTGATTTAGCGTGTCATTCGATTGGCAGGGGAAAGGAAAACATGCTCATCAGTGGGAACATTAGTGGGATATTAAAGGAGACATGCTGAAATGTGAACTTGGGATGCAGCAACAAAACCCACTCATAGTACACAAACACTGTAAAGCCCTTTCAACAGAAACAAAGCAAAGGTTTGTCCTCTGACCTGAGATGCAGATGAAGGTCATGTAGTCTCCCTGACCACCTGTGGCCAGGAAGGGGATCTTCTTCTTGGTCCTCCTCTTCACCTGCGCAGCAACAAGCATCTTCTCATCGTGGGGTATGAAGACCGCCTTGTTTATGGCAGACTTGACGCTCATCTCTGAAGAAGGCAGGAGTGAACAGCTGGAGAGTAGTTTGAGTGGAGAAAACGAGATCCACACTTCCTGAAGAGCAGAAGAGAACAGCAAGTTAAATTAGCTAAATATGTTGGACCAGGCTTACAATATAAAAAAATGCAGATCTAGAATTTCCTACTAAAAGTCTACACAATTATGACTTACATTACTTGCATCTATTTTTAAAAGTTTTGAGATATATAACTTTTTCATCCAATGAAATAGTCTATGAAAACGGTTGGCCGTATGTTTTAGGTATTAATAAATGAACAAGGTAATGACCGATAGGGAATTACATGTAACATTGTGCGTGTGTGTCCCATTTCCAACTTTAAAAAAGCAGCACAAATAGCCTTAATTGATCATATAGGTTTCACAATCTTTTTTGTATTATTACTATTTGTCTCCATTGGCATTACTGTGATTGGCAGAGCTGTTTCAGGGCAGTGAGAGCAGTCATGTGACTGCTGGAAAGGATATCTATTAATCAACAAACCCATTGACCTCTACTGCACTTCAGCAAGCCCTTTTGCACTTACTGCTGCTGCATAAAATGAAGCAAACATTAGAGGCACTTGGAGAGTCACATTGTCGGTGCTCCTAAAGCTAACTGCTTTACACTTGCATGTAAAAAAAAGCCCCACACTATATGCACTTGCAACCCCTCATCACAGGTTGTTTGTCTGAGTAGTGAGCAGTTTACGGCCAGCTGATAAAGACACACAGGATTTTGATAGCAAATATTAACAGCAGGAAAAAAACTAAATAAAAAGCTGTTGAAATGTAAAGCTTGATTCTGTGTTCACATCCTCAGGCCAGTCACTCCCTTATGGTACTTCCACAAGGTTCCATCGCGTTGAAGCTTGCCGGTGAGCGTGTCTGGCGCACGACCAACAACCAATCACATTCATCTCCAGCCCCGGACACACAAGCATGCGGTTTGATTGGCTAATGCTTGGACTGGCATATAATTTGATTGGCTGGCGCTTCCGTCGACGCTTGAAAAGTTGAACTTTTCTCAACTGTCGAAGCGAGCAACGGAGGCAAAGCGACGCAATGCAGTTCAGCAAAGTTTGACATCACCCCATTCAAAGTGAATGGGAAGCGTCTCCGTTGAAGCACGCAACGGAACCGTGTGGACGTACTGTTAGACTCCAAAACGACATACAAACAATCAATCTACATTTTACACTATACTGCTCACAGTGTACATCACGATGAAGTAATGAGTTTAAGAGTTCCAAAACGTAGATTCTCTGTGTTGCAGCCAGTCTCTACGCTCCCTCTCTTTAAATGTTTTGCCAATGTTCTTAGCGGAAGTACAGGCCCTCGCAGAGATGAAATGTCTCGAGCTGAAGCTTTTAAGAGTACTGGTAAGTCTTACTGATACAGAACAGCAATCATGTTTCTATTATTAGAAGCCAATGTCTTCTTGGAACTGTATTTTGTTTGTGGCTGGAAATAAACCTCAAGAGACACAGAAGTATGTCTGATGTTGCAGGGAAAACTGGGCTCGAATGCACAACACAGCCAAAAAGAAGTGGCAGAATTGGTTCCAAATGCTCTCCTGAGGACCATGGAGCTTAATTACATGAGCTTAATCATTCTCTCGGCCACACACAAGAACTCACAACCACATCCTGCTCAGCCCACCCTGATGAAGCGATCCGATCAGTCAGTTTCAACCAGTCGATGAATTACTCTACTGCAGGCAAAGCCAGTCAGACTTCAGAGAAATGCCTTCATTGAACTGGCTGGCTAATAAATGACAGATGAGGAACAAAGACCAAGTTGTTTTCTAAAAGTGAAACAAGTTTTAGACTGAGTGCTCAGCAGTTTAGGAGTCAAAGTTGAATTAAATTAAAAGCACAACTTGCAGCAAGTTTACATGGACAGTAATAAAGTGCATGAGCCAACTTCTCCACCCCCTTTACTAGCTGCTGAAAGGCTGCCATTGTTGACTAGTGGTCATTGTTAAAGGAGGATTACGTCAGGTCAGAAGGAAGAATTCAACAGCAGTGAAAGCTTTAGATACAATGCCAGGGCTACAATATAATGCGATAACACTTTTATTGTTTCATTTTTGTTGAGTGTGTCAACTGTATGGTGATTTCTGAGACAGCATTTTGTGGCAGCTTTAAACTGAACGGCATTTCAGGCAAAGGTAATGTGTACAGGTGGCACTAAAGTAGTTAAGTATTCACCTTTCTGACAATCAAAATTGAAAAGGAGTCCAACATCCCAACCATTTTTGCTAGGGAAAGCTTCAATTATAGCTGTGATAACAAGCACAGAGTAGTTTTGCAAACTACCTTCTTTCAAAAGCAAGAAAGCTTTTTCAAGCTGAGCCTCTTGAGCGAGCCAGGCATTGTGTAAAAACTGTGCCTCGAGTTGTTTGTGCATGTCGTTCTGAGCTCTGATAAAGACTGCAAGACTACTGTGCCAGTGTAACTTCAAAATGCACAAACAGTACAGCACTGAAAAGACTTGGACATCATGTCCTGTGAATAAATCATATTCGGAGGTCAGCTCTGAATGTATCCAGCATTAATGTCTTCAACAAGGACGGAGGTTTGAACTCTTATGTGTATCAATTCTGTCAGGGCTTTGACACAGTTTGTAACCAGCAAAAAATTACTTAAAGCTCACCTATTATGCAAAATCTACTTTTTCATATCTTTTATACAAAAACATCTGTGTAAAGAGATTCTGAAATTGTCAGGATGAAAGACCCCCTCACTTTTTGTCCTGATCCATTTATATAAAAACCTGTCTTAAAATGAGCTGATCCGATTCTGGCCACTTTATGATGTCATAACGATTTTTTTTGGCCAATAACCAACCAAGGTAACATCCCCCCACCTTATCACCTGGATCTCCTCCTAGAGCACCATTGTGTTCTTTTTAAACAAATATCCCTCATACCTCATTCACACCAACGGTGTTTCAGGGCCGGTTCGGAGCTGGAGCTTGAAAAGCACCGGGTTTTCCTGTTCACACCGCAGCGGAGCAGCCACTTAGCTCCGGAATCCGGTTCGTTTCAAGCACCAATATTTTTATCGGCTAGAGCAAAAGCACCGCATACGTCACGCTTACGTCGAGGCGGGGGCAGGGGGAATCGGAATCGTTGTTGAAGTTGATGATTAAGAAAAACCTAAACGAGTAGCGCTTCAACACAATCGGGGCAAAACGATTCCACAATTCTGTAATTTGTCATTATGCCAATATGTACTCACAAATGTAAAGTAACTGTCCTAAATGAGTTCACCCCTTCCCCTGGGTATCTATCCTTTAACATATCCTTCTCTTCTCAGTTATTGGGATAATGAATAAGAAAAGAACATTAAGGTGAAATCTTGAAAAAGCTAATCGTCTTATTTTCCTCGAACAAATGACACTAGCAGAGTTCCTCTCTGTGGAAGCCCTTATCCGTAACATGGCTCCCTCATCTCCTCTTTCCTCCAGCTGAGAAAGAGGGTTGCCCACATATCCCTGCAAACTGTCACCAGGCAAAGGGGAGCGCCTACCCCCCTAAGGTGGCCTGCTGAAGCATGACGGGAAGGAGGGATAAGGGAATGAGGGATGCGAGGAAGAAAACAAGGAGGATGATGAGGAGGAGGAGACAGAGGGGAGCCTGGAGGCAGGGAAATGTAGCCAGTGACAATGCATAGCTTATGGTTTGACTCGAGCAGTCTTATGCAATGCTCGCAAAGCAGGGCCACGTTAATGTACTGGAGCGGCTGTGGCAATGAAAACGACGTATATATATTTTACGGCTGCTTATCACCCCATTTCCAAACACGGCCCTTTTCCAGAACACTTCATTACTTGTGGCCGTGTGTTGCCAAGCCGCACTGCTGCCTGGCTGCGCTCTTGCCCAGTGTGTTTATATGAAATCTGTTCAGTCTGTGCTCACAGCTCGCTCTAGGACCTCATTGGGTTTTTGTGTTAACTTATTTTAGCATCAGTCCTGCTCTCAGCCTGTGCTCACGAGCCCATAGGAACCTTCCACTGTAGCAGGAGTTGCAGAAGAGAGGGGCTCAAAAGACAGGTGGATGCCACAGGCCTCCTCACACTGAATGGAAGGTGTATCTTTACAAATACACAAACTCAAATTCAACCCACCAGGCTTTAGAAATACATGTAGGGAGGAACCGCCAAGTATATTTACTTTTCTTCATATTGACTGTCAGCTTGCGTGAGAATTAAAGACAATAAAAATGGATCACATAGATATGAAAAATGTAGCTGCAGTATGTGCATGGACTCTTGACTAAGACAAACTGAGAGACATCTAAAACGTACTGCGATATTGACATGTATGTGTTGTATATGTTAAAGGTCACCTATTATGCAAAATCCACTTTGTCCCCTCTGTGTAAAAAGATTATGAAAGGAAAAAAGATTCTCTCTCTTTTTGTCCTGATCCATTTATATAAAAACCCGTCTGAAAATGAGCTGATTAGATTTTGGCCACTTTATGATGTCATAACGATTTATTGGCCTGTGTAACCATTAGCCAATCTCCAACCAAGGTATTTTTTCTGCTGTACCGAAAACGTACCGAACCGTGACCTAAAAACCGAGGTACGTACCGAACCAAAATGTTTGTGAACCGTTACACCCCTAGATGCTACAATTATCTGTATGGTATTTGGAGCCAAACACTTCAGAGACATGTGTTGTATATATCTGAGACCTATAATAAAGTAATGAAAAACAGTATAATAGGGGACCTTTAAAGAAGACATATGGCATTAGGACCACGAGTGAGAACAGACTTAGGTCAAGGTTAAGTTATGTCATGGGTCGGGCAAATAAACGTCAGTTAGGGAATGTGTACACATGCATCAGAATTATTGATAAGCATGGGAAAACACACATGTGCCTTATCACCACCACTGAAAGGGAATAATAACTTGCCAACTTTGTTTGTCTAAGATTCTGCATTAAGATGTGTTGTCAGCTTCAAAATCCCCTCTCTGTACACAGCCTGCATTGCAAATCCTAACAAGTTAGTTTGTTTTGGAAACTGAAAATGTTTCTGA